GTAAGTGTGAGAATAGACAATGGACATGAGGAGGGTGTCTGGGATGGTTAAGCACACAAGACATATGGGTTAAGAACTAACTGATTGCAAGAAAAGAATGACGAGTGATAACAGTAAAGACGGTAGGATAACCATAGCGGGTGGGTAATGAACAGGTGACCACAATAATACGAGGCAGTTTCTTTACCTGGTCGAGATAATAGATAACGATAATGGATTGAGCGTATAACGATTGACGATTCAGTTTCCACGTGGGGTGGAGATAATAGATCACGATAACAGGTTAGACGAAGAATAGGTCACGAGAACACGAAAGTTGCTATGTGGGGTGGTTAGGTAATCATAGGGGGAGGCGGAAAAGTGCAAACTGAATGGCCATGAAGGGGGAACGTAGCAAGTTCCAACCCGGCGGTGGGTAGGAACGCACATGAATTGCTGGGTTTTGAACAGAGTACGGATAGGTCCGGTCTACGTAATTTCAATCATACAGTAAATCATCTTACATTTCCAAACACGAACCAGTGGACCATAGCAGCTGCAACAGATTTTTCTCCCATGAATTCTGAGTTGCAACCCCTTCTACAGCGAGGACGCTGTTTCTTGGTAGGCAATCCAGGCTATTACACCAAGCCATCATCGAGATACCACGAATTGTGCATAGTTGCTAAGTGTTGTAGTTGACGAATTCAACAATTTTAAATATCTGCAAACAAATGTCATCACCCTTTATTACAAACGTAGATCAGTTGCGATTGAAGGTGAAAAAGTAAGGTTCAAAGCCATTTACGATTATCGGAGATCATCAATGATATTTATAATAGGAATAACTTCGGAATAACTATTAAATATTAAATGACAGCTTTTCTCGGAGATAGGGATTTGAGGATGCCATAAAAGTTTTCGAACATTGCTGTATATATATACTTCCTGGGTACAAGTATATAAATGCACTGAGAAAAGATTACCGGATATGCATGCCTGACGAGCGGTAAGAACCGCGAAACCGGTCATGTGCTCCTAGGGGAATTTTGTCTAGTCCTTCAAATACTACTTATATATATATATATATAAGAGTGCACAGCACAACGAAATAAATCGATACGATGTTCAAAAGGGGA